TCAAAGGTGGAGTCGACAGTAGTCTTGTCACGAAGTACCAAAAGGTCGTCCACGTAGACCATCATGTAGCCGTCCCGAGCCGCGTTGGTGTAGACATTTGGTTCTGACGTGAGTCTTACAAAGCCAAGCTTTTCTAGTGCTTCAGCAAGCCTTAGGCGAACTGCGTAGTCCGTACATGGCCTTCTTTAGCCGCCATTGTTTGTCCTGTTGTGGACATAGTTCCGTAGGTGGCCAAAGGTAGATGTCGCGTTGTTTACCTTCGTTGTCTTTTGCGATGGGTGCGTGTAGAAATGCTGTAGAAACGTCACCCAGTCGTGCTACCCAGTTTGGTCGTGACATTTGTAGTGCGAGGAGTGTCTGTAGCGTCGTGAACATTGGTGTAGAAGCGTAGACGGAGTCTTCATCCTCGATTTTCTCTGTGTAGCCTTTTGCAACTATCCTGCATCTCACGCCAGTTCCTTTCTTTCTGTGTGCCCACTTTGTAGGTATTGCTTCTTTGATGACGTTGTCGTCGACGGTAGACGTAGCTACTTCGTCGCAGACGTCATGTAGTTTCATTTGGTTGGATTTGTGTTTCATTCCTTCACGTAGTTGCGCTTCATCGCAACCTTCGTTGTCGAAGATTATTGGTTGGTCTTCCGAGGTGTCATCGTTGGTGTAGGAAGTTACTGAAGTGCCGTTGGATTAGTGTTACTGCGTTGATTCGCTGTCGTAGTGCTTGTGGTTCCTTGGTTGTTTCTTCTGTTGATCTGATTGTAGTGTGGTGCCCAAGGTGTACCTGAGACCTTGTTCAGTAGTGCAAGATCATTTTTGAAGTCAGGTTGTAGTCGTCTGACTGTCCTTGCTTTTAGTACGCCTTGTTCCGTTGCGACGTAGTTTTCTCCTGTTTCCGAAACTTTTCCGAGCCATATGCATTTCTGCATTCGCAGGTCCAGCTTTCGGTATTTTCTTACGTTGTGGTGGAAGGTAGAGTAGTGTTTCGCCAAACTCGCAAATTGCTCGCTCGAAGTTTCTTCCCCAGCGGCGTTCGAAGCTCGTGTAGCCGTCGGAGTGGATGACGTGGCGATTTACTGTCCAGGTTGCGTGTCGTACTATCCAAGGTAGTATACAATGCCTTGTTGACATTGACATGCTGTAGTTGCTTTCAACTTGTGCTTTGACGACGCGTAATTGTCCAAGAAGTGTTCTGTGTAGTCGCTCAACGCTTCCTTGACTGTTGCTGCTGTAGGACGGTGCGTGTCGCACAGTCATTGAGCCGATTTTGGATGCTGTTGCTTTTAGTAGTGCATTAAGCGAGTCTTCGTTGTCGCTTTGTAGTACGCCTTGTGTTCTTCCGCGTTCAAAGATGAATGCTTGTAGGTTGTTGATCATGTAGTCCATCATTGATGGTTTGTCCGGAACCAATACCGCCATGCGCAGTTGTGTAGTAACATCAACTGCCGTTAAGACTGGTATGGTTTTCGGATCCTGTTGTGATTTGATGTGGGCAAAATCTACTTGGATTATGGGTTGTCGCGATGGTTGTTTCTTGTAGTTGTCTTGGCGTCCTTTGCCTTGCACGCGCCGCAAATTAGACACCAGTTTCTGTACGGTAGGTGTGTTAAGTTGCGTTCTGCTACTTGTTGTGGAGTTGGTTGTTGCGGTTGTCGTAGTCCTATTGCTTTGTGTGCTTCGTGGTGTTCGTAGTGTTGTTCGTCATCGTAGTGCTCTCGGAGGTATTCGTAGCCTTTCTTGATGGTGAACCTTGTTCTGCCTTTCCATTGGAACGGTAGTGCTGCGTTGCCTATGACTGTCCAGTCATCTTTGTGTTGTCACACTTCTCCGAAGCTGTTGTTTGAGATTGTAGTTCGGAAGGGTTCGAGTGTGTTGACTGGTTTGTGTCCTGGTCCATCTGTAGGTGTGAACAATGTGGTTCGTAGTGTGACGTGGTGTCTTATCCAGTATTCACCTTGTCTTTCCCAGTAGTCTTGGTTGTCTTCTTGCGCAGTTGGTGGTCTATGTATTGTTGGTTTTGGTTGCGCAGTGTCAAGTTCTGTGGATGGTGCTGCTTTGGGTCTCCATATCTTTTGTGGAGTTCGTAGTTGTAGTTTTGGTCTTGTAGTGGGTGTCGACGTTGCAGGTTGTGGTGACGAACTTTGTCGTGGTGGTGTAGTCTTTGTAGTCAGCCGGTGTGTAGGTGTGACTTTTCTTCGGAATCTGGTTTCTCCAGTCCAGTCACCAACTTCAAGTTTTCTTTGTAGTTCTTGTTTGGAAAGTTGTTTCGTGTTCTCTTGTAGTTGTTCTGGTTCTTGCCCTTGTGTGTGGATGATGGTCAGTCGCTAGTCATCTAGTTGTTCTTCTGGTATTGGGCAGCCACTGTTGTGTGAAGGGAATAGTGCTTTGCGTGGTCGTTTGTGAACTTGGATGGCGTAGTCACCATCGAGTTTCCAGTAGTCAGTGTTTCCACCAAGGATTCGCCTTTGTCCTTGGTCTGTGTGTGTGGTGCAATTTGTTCTTGTTGTTGTTGTTGCTTTGTTTCCTTTGTAGGCTGGATACAGCAATGGGTTTCCATTGTCGGTAGTCATTGGGTAGACGTCGTGTCCTGTAGGTATGTCGATCTTTTCTGCTCGTAGGTAGAAAAGTGCTGAGTGTCGAATGAGTTGTGCTTGTTGTTGTCCATGAGAGATAGTGCAGTGTCGTGGGTTGAAGTCCAGTCCATATCCTCTATCAAGTAGTCTTGATGCACTTAGGATGGGGTACTTCACATCACAGACGTAGTAGGGTATCAAGAGCCTGAAGTTGTCCTGCTTGTAGGGAACGTACTTGATGCCGTAGACAGGAATCTTCTTGTTGGTCACAGTGTAGAGTTGTGGAACTGATTCTAGATCGTAGTGGAAGATCCGGCGCGTAGTCCTTTGGGCACACATGTGTAGACGCTCCTGAGTCAATAAGCAGGTGGTGATATGACTTGAAGTTGGAGTACATGATGTAGTGAGTGATGTTGTCATCAAGTTTTCGTTGTTTCTGTTGTTGCGTTGCTGCTGCAATGTTGAGGTGTCGTTGTGGTTTGTCCTGTTGTAGGTACCGTTGGTAATTGATGCTGTGGTCATTCCATGATGTTGTGTGGGTTGATCTTTTCCCAAGTAGTGATTTGGGTTTTGCGCTTGCATGGTCGTGGCTTTGCTTGCCTGATGTGTCCAATGGTGAGGTGCGACTCGTTGATGCCTCCAATGTAGTTTGCTGCATCTTCATGATTGTAGTCATTCCAATCCCAGCCGTTGTCATTCCAGTCGTAGTCGTTCCAACTCTCCTCCATGTAGTTCACATCATGTCCATGTCCTTCTTCTCCTTCGTAGTACCAATCCCAAGTGTTGTGCGTTGCTCTGAGCTCATTGTTGTTGCTCAGGAGGTTGTAGTTCTTCTCCTTCTCCGATGTGCCATGCCGGCACTCTGCAGTCCTGTGCCGAGTGGCCAGGCTTGCCACATCTGTGGCATGTCATGTAGTTGCTGTTTCCTTTTCCTTTTGATTTGCTGTAGGTTCCTTGGCCTTTGTAGCCTTTGCTAGATCCGTAGCCTTTGGATCCGTAGCCTTTTCCTTTTCCTTTGCTGTAGCCGCTCTTGTTGTATCCTCCTTTGTTGCCTTTGTCAAATCCTTTGTAGTAGCCTTTGCTCTTGCGCTTGCCTTTTCCTTTGTTTCCTTTGTAGTATCCTTTGCTTCCATGTTTGCCTTTGCCTTTGTAGTTCCTTCCTTTTCTCCAAATGTTGTCAACGTCCATTGGTGCAGATCCTCCATTGTAGTTAGTGCCAACTGCTGAAGTCGCTCTTGAGAATGCTGAGATAGTCTTGTAGTAATCCAAGATGACCACTCTGATCTCGTTGTAGTTCGTGATCTGTCGAGTAGTACTGCAATCTTCACTCCATCTGGTAGTGCCGTTGTCTTTCTCGTAGCGGTTGATGTCGTACTCCCACTGTAGGAATTGTTCTTCAAATTGTGCTTCGTTGAATGTAGGTTCCAGTAGTTTGGTGAGGTAACCAACGCTGCGTGTTCCTACTGGTAGGCTGAACCTGTTGTGCAAAAGTCGCAGTGTTTCACATCCATTGGCATTGTAGCGATTTTGTCGTACTACTGTAGCTGCCGCTCCTTGACAAATGTTGATGAGAATGTAGTGTAGATCTCTTGAGAGGTCTACTAGGGTCGCGTATGTGGGCTCTGATGTCTGCATCATCAATTTGCCTTGTAGCTGCCGGTGCTAGTTGTAGTACCATGTCGAAGTCTCGGTCTATGAGTCCGAGATATGCTTGTAGTTTGAACAGCCACTCTTCATACTGTGAGTAGTCACCAGTTCGTCTTGCTCCTGTGTTGTTCCTGTTCCCGTAGTCGTGGCTCCTACTGTCTCTGCTGTTGTGTAGTTGCTGTTGCAGTTGTTGTGCTTACTGCTGTATACTGGAGCTCCCCTATGTTTAGGATCTCTGCTCCGCTACCACGTTAAACTCAGTTGTTGCTTTGACTACAAGTGCAAGCGCTGTTGTATTGTCACAAACATTAACCGATGTAGTCTGCAGCTGCCAACCTTTTCACTAATGCAGTCGTAGTAAGCTCAAGGCCTGCACAGCAGTGTACATACATGCAACACAAGTACAAGAAGTGAAGCATGTAGTTCTCTCTCGCTCTCTCTCTGGCTCTCTCTCTCTCTTTCTCTCTCTCTCTCGCTCTCTCTCTCTCTCTCTCGCTCTCTCGCTCTCTCACTCTCTCTCGCTCTCTCTCTCTCTCTCGCTCTCTCTCTCTCTCGCTCTCTCTCCTCTCTTCGCTCTTCTCTCTTCGCTCTCTCTACTCTCCTCTCCTCTCCCTTCCCTTCTCCCCCTCCTCTCCCTCTCCCTCTCCTCTCCCTCTCCCTCTCCTCTCCCTCTCCCTCTCCCACTGTCCTCCCTCTCTCTCTCTCTCTCTCTCTCTCTCTCTCTCTCTCTCTCTCGCGCATGCACGCACCCTTCAAACAAAGGAGTTGCGAATGCCAGCCAGGTGCGTCACAAAATGCTGCAAGGCCAATGTCATTCTGGATGCTCCTGCGGCGAGGAGGAATGCCCCTCGCAGCCCACAGAAGTGATGCCTCAAGACCCGCTACCAGTCTCCCTTGTTCCTCGTCTTGAGGTCATTTTCAGGACGGCTTGTCTGCGCTTCCAAGAAAAAACAATCCAAGGCTGTTCCCCAAATTGGCAGCTGGCGAGCGCCCCAACCAAATGGCCCAAGGGCCAGGGTTGCACACATGCGACCAATTCAGCTGTGCCAAGAAACCAGTGCAGGAACAACGGAGAACCACGCACGAATTCGGCCACTAGGGGTTTTGGGCTCTGCTCATGTAGTGCGCGAGCTGTCCGGCTCAAATCCAGCTTGTCCAGGTCGCAGCTTCCGACTGCCCGCCCCAGCGCCGCGGCTTGCTGATCTGTGAGCGGGGCGTCCTGTATCTTCAATATCCTGACGCCATAGCCGGAATGGAAGTTTGGAGTATTGAGGGGGTATGTCTGTGTCTGTGTGTGTGCAGATCTGTGTTGCGTGTAACTCTCTGTCCGCCTGTGCCTTGTGCATGTGCGTGTCCGTGTGCATGTTTGTCTGTGCGCGTGCGGGTGTGTGTGTGTGTGTCTCTGTGTGTGTGTCTGTGCTGTATGTGTAGGCGTGTGTGTGTGTGAGCTGCGCTTGCGTGTCTCTCAACTACTCTGCCTTGCGCGCGCGTCCCGGGGCGTGTTTGTGTGTCCCTGTGTCTGTGTCTGTGTCTTTGTCTGTGTGCGTGTCACTGAATGTGTCTGTGTGTGTGTGTGTGTCCGCGTGTGTGTGTGTGTGTGCACTGGGCCTGCGTCTCTCAATTTCTCTGCATGCGCGTCCCGGTGTGTATCTGTGAGTGAGTGAGTGAGTGAGTGAGTGAGTGAGTGAGTGAGTGAGTGAGTGAGTGAGTGAGTGAGTGAGTGAGTGAGTGAGTGAGTGAGTGAGTCAGTGAGTGAGTGAGTGAGTGAGTGAGCGAGTGAGAGAGTGAGCGAGTGAGCGACTGAGTGACTGACTGAGTGAGTGAGTGAGTGAGGTGAGCCAAGTGTGTTGTGTTGTGTGTGTGTTGTTTTGACTTTGTGTTGTGTGTGTCTGTGTGTCTGTGTGTCTGTGTGTCTGTGTGTCTGTGTGTCTGTGTGTCTGTGTGTCTGTGTGTCTGTGTGTCTGTGTGTCTGTGTGTCTGTGTGTCTGTGTGTCTGTGTGTCTGTGTGTCTGTGTGTCTGTTTGTGTCTGTGTGTGTCTGTGTGTGTCTGTGTGTGTCTGTGTGTGTCTGTGTGTGTCTGTGTGTGTCTGTGTGTGTCTGTGTGTGTCTGTGTGTGTCTGTGTGTGTCTGTGTGTGTCTGTGTGTGTCTGTGTGTGTCTGTGTGTGTCTGTGTGTGTGGGTGCGTGCGTGCGTGCGTGCGTGCGTGCGTGCGTGCGTGCGTGCGTGCGTGCGTGCGTGCGTGCGTGCGAGCGTGCGTGCGTGCTTGCGTGCGTGCGTGCGTGCGTGTGCGAGTAGGGGTTGTTGCGTGTGGTGTGCGTGTGTGCGTGTGTGAGTGTAATGTGTGTGGGTGGGTTGTTTGATTGTGTGCGTGCGTGCGTGTGCGTGCGTGCGTGCGTGCGTGCGTGCGTGCGTGCGTGCGTGCGTGCGTGCGTGCGTGCGTGCGTGCGTGCGTGCGTGCGTGCGTGGGTGTGTGTGTGTGTGTGTCTGTGTGTGTTTGTGTGTGAATTTGTGTGTGAATTTGTGTGTGTTTGTGTGTGAGTTTGTGTGTGTGTGAGTTTGTGTGTGAGTTTGTGTGTGAGTTTGTGTGTGAGTTTGTGTGTGTGTGTGTGTTTCTGTTTGTGTGTGTTTGTGTGTGTGTGTGTGTTTGTGTGTGCTTGTGTGTGTTTGTGTGTGTGTTTGTGTGTGTGTGTGTGTGTTTGTGTGTGTTTGTGTGTGTGTTTGTGTGTGTATGTGTGTGCGTGTGTTTGTGTTTGTGTATGTGTGTGTGTATGTGTGTGTGTGTGTTTATGTTTGTGTTTGTGTTTGTGTGTGCCCAGACGCTCCCAACTCATGTTTCGGGCCCTCGGGCCCTCGCGGGCCCTCGGGCTGGTTTGGGGGGGGCTAAGGCTCGTGGCAAGATAGCGCAGATTAGAGAAAGCAAATAGATAGTCTACATACCGGACACTTAATCTGAACTTAGTTATTATTTACTAGTTCTTTTACTAGGAAGAGATAAGGACAGATAAAAATAACAAATAATAAAAGATCAAACAAATAGATAAGACAACAAATAGAAAATAAGATAACAACACACAGTTAAAACAGCAGAATTGATGTAAATAACTTGCAAAGAGCTTGCCCTTCAGCAGAAGAAACGTTGCCGCCGGGCGAATCAAACAATGCAACTTTCCAGCTGGAATTGTGGAAGTGTCAAGCACTGTTCTCTCGCTACAGAGTTACAAGAGCCCCCGTTACATACCTCCGTGCCAAGATTCGCGCCGCGTCGGGCGTTGCATGCCCTTAAAAACCATAGCCATGTATAATCATAACCCGAACAATGGCATCATCCTGGCGCAATACAATGTGGACCTGGTACAATAAAATACGCGTCTGAGAACCCACAAGCATAATAATAATAACGGGGAAGGCCTGGCTTTGCAAAGAAGAGGTTTGGAAGGGGCCGAGTTTTCGTTTCATTTAATCCGCTTTTCCATCTAGTTTGGGTTGGTGGTTTGGAGGGCCGGTTTTTCATTCGTTTGGGTTGCTGGTTGGGAGGGGGCAATTGTTTCATTTAGTTTGGGTTGGTAGTTTGGAGGGGGCCGCTGTTTTCATTTGGTTTGGGTTGCTGGTTTGGAGGGGCCGCTTGTTTCATTTTGTTTGGGTTGTTTGTGTGGAGGGGCCGCTTGTTCTATTTACTTTTGCTTGGTGGTTCTAGTTTCACTTAATTTTCGTTGGTGGTTTGGTCGGAGGGGTCCGCTTTTCCATTTCCTGGTTTGGAGAGGCCGTTTTTGTCATTATGTTTGGGTTGGTAGTTTGGAGGGGGCTGTGTTTTCCAATTAGTTTGGGTTGCTGGTTTGGAGTTTGGAGGGGCCGTTTGTTTCATGTAGTTTGGGTTGGTAGTTTGGAGGGGCCGTTTTTTTAAATTTAGTTTGGGTTGCTGGTTTGGAGGGCCCGCTTGTTTCATTTAGTTTCGTTTGGTTGCGTGGAGGGGCCGTTTTTTTCTATTTGGTTTGGGTTTGTAGTTTGGAGGGGCCCTTTTTCCATTAGTTTGGGTTGCTGGCTTATTGGGTTGGTTGTGTGGAGGGGCCATTTTTCCAATTAGTTTGGGTTGATGGTTCTAGTTTCATTTAATTTGTGTTTGTGGTTTGGAGGGGGCCGCTTTTCCATTCACTTGTCACTGGCCTGCTTGGTCTGCTGTTTTTCGTAAAGTTGGATTTTTTGCTTTTTAAGTAAGAGTTGCTAATTGCTTGTTGTCCGTGGCTGCCGTTTTTTTTCAGGGTCTGTCGCTGGCCTGCTTGGTTGGGCTGCTGCTTTTCGCAAAGTGTTTTTCCGGTTTCTAATTTGATTGTTGTCTTTGCCTGCCTGTTTTCGGCAGATGTTGTTGGCAATCTTGCTTGCGAAGAGCTGTTGCCTCACGCAGGGCGGTGGGCGGTGGACGGTGGGCGGGACATGCGGGTCATCAGGCGGGCCATGCAGGCCACAGCCGGACCAAGCAGGCCAGTGACGCTGAAAAAAAACAACTGCGCCAAGAAAGCGGCATCCACACAGCCCTACCACTTCAAGAGAATCAGCAGCCCGACCAAGCAGGCCACTGACAGGCCTAGAAAAATCCAACTGCACAAAAAACATGGCAGCCACACACAACAAACAAAATAGAAACTCTACTCCCAGACGCTCCCAACTCATGTTTCGGGCCCTTGGGCCCTCGCGGGCCCTCGCGGTCGTAGGAGGTTTCGGGCTGCTTTTTTTGGGGGCCTTTGGGCTGCAAACCACCTTCGGATTACCATCGGATAACCGTCGGATAACCGTCGGATGGACGTCGGATAGCCGTCGGATAACCGTCGGATAATTGGGCCGGGGCCCCCACAACTGAGGGTCTACGAGGGCCCGGCGTCGGATACCGTCGGATACCGCAGATAACCGTCGGATAACCGTCGGATATCCGTCTGATAACCGTCGGATAGCCGTCGGATAACCGTCAGATAGGGGAGGTGTGAGTCGAGGCCATTTTGGTGGATCAGCGATCCATTGATCCCGTC